GAAAGGCCAGCGCCACCTATAAAAAGTCTGCCAAGAGAGTCAGAGCTGTCAAAGACATTTTTTCATAATGGGCAGACCTGGAGGGTTTTTCAAAACCGAAAACAGACAACGCAAACAACGTGCCACGGGTCAGTACAAATCACCTTACCAAAAAGGTGAAAGTATTTACACACCATTGGAGGAGGCTGTGTTTCGACAGAGCTGACAGCGTAGACCTAACAGAGACATGTTGGAATGGATGGTCAAGAGAACCAAGGGAAAACAGCGAGGAGGTTTCAACGTTTCGTTGTCCAAATGGACAGTCGATTATATTGTCAAACGTATGCCTAGCAAAAAGAAACAACGTTAAATCGTATACCAAGCAAATAGAGTATAAATAAGCGAGAACAGTAAAGCCGACCATTCTTGTTCATCATGTCTCTGAACCTGTTCGATCTCCCTAATGTGGACTACCGTTATGAAGCTAGCCGAGAAGTGCGGTTCAGACCGGCTTTGACAGGACTCAACCCAATCTCCGTCAACATACCTGCTTCGGAGGATTTCTATGATTTGGGAGAAGCCAAACTGATCATGGAGTGCCGACTCACTCATCCCAGTACGGGTTACACGGGCATCGAGGTGCAAGCCTCCGGTGCAAGATCTGCTTCCGATGGCAACGAGACTCGAAACATGGCCATTCAAAACAACTTTGCTCACACGATCTTCCGACAGATGGATTTGAAATTCAATCAGGTGTTGATGACGCAGCAGACTAATCAGTACCATCAAGATGCTTATCTCAAAAAGGGTGCCTTTGAAGCCCTAGAAGAAATCACCAAACCTTTGCAACTGAAACAATGGGCCACCTTTGTGGTCAAACCCAACTTGGCCGCTTTTCAAACAGGAAAAGCGTTGGTGCCAGGCGTGCAAATCGACTTGGACTGTTATCTGAATTCGAACCTCATTTACCTGTTTGGAACACCCAACAAAGGAACCCTCACTGACAAGAAGTTTCCCTATTTCACAGCTTCTGACTTTAAGCTTGAATTGTCCATGCGAAAATTGACCTTGAATTCCAGCATCTATGTGAAACTGGCCAAGGAACGACAATTGAGCAAACAAGCGGTTCCGTATCCTGTGGTGAGAAGTGAACTAAGAACCTTCTCCATTCCTAGCGGATCCACGTTCTGGGAACAAGACAATATCTTCTTGAACAGATTGCCTGACAGAAACATTGTGGCTTTGGTTCACACCGATGGATTTGATGGAAAAATCAATCGTTCCTGTTTTGCTTATGAAAAATTTAAACTGGCAGAAATCATCCAAACGGTGGAAGGCGAAGAGTACCCTCCCTTACAAGACCTTAAAGTTGAGCAATGTCAATGATCAAGAAAGTGGAACGGATTTGCTGGGGTACGATCGTTTCCTGACTGCCAGTGAAGGGTATTACAAAGATGGTTCACCCATGGTTCAACCAGGTGATTGGGGACATGGTAAAAATTGCACCCTGTTCATGTTCAACAATGTGCCCAACGGAAAAGCTGACAATGCAGAGTACAGAAATCCAGACAGAGTGGCAATGTGCGCCTGCAGCTCTTGTTTAGCGCTGCCACCACTAACAATATCACCGTGATGGTCTGGAGCGAGTACGAAAATGTATTTGAGATCAATAACCTTGGTGGTGTCAAGTATAACATTCTAGACTAAGAAAGAGAAAGGATGGAGTTTGTGGCCCTCAGTACGGACGTTCTTAACACGCTGGCCAAAGAAGACAGATGTTTGAAACGAATGTTTCAGGGCGTGTATCCAGCGGACCGTCTTCCACGCAACCCCTACACCAAAGTCAGACAAGCTTACATCGTCAACACGGATCCAGCAGGGGAACCGGGTCAACATTGGCTGGGCATATGGACCGAAGGGAAGGAATGTGAAGTCTTTGACAGTTATGGACTACCTCTCACCCAATACAGTGATCCAGACTTGCACCGTTGGTGGAGTCAATGGCCCGTTTTTGAAAGGAGTGATACAAGCCTTCAAGCCCTCGACAGTCAAACGTGTGGTCATTACGCGTTATTTTATCTGAAAGCCAAAGCCAGACAAGAATCCTTGCAAGACTTTTTAGCGCGATGGAACACCAACAATCTAGTCATGAACGATCAACGCATGGCCGAACAAATGACCAAACTCATCAAGTCTGAAGTCAGAGAGATGTTGGAAAAACCGCAAGACCATGAACAATGTAATTGTAGTTACCAATCTTTCTTATGCTGTCAAAATCAATAAACCATATGTTGTCAATCAACCAAATGACTTCCGCCTCTATTTTTTCTCATAAAACTCGAGACCCCTTTCCCTCGTCACTCATTTCTCATCATGATCACCAGACGAGACGTTGACTCTGTTCGTAACCTCTTTGGGGCACAAGAAGCCATCTACTGGGTAATGCATCCCATAGAAAGAGTGCAAACTGTCCAACAAATAGACGAATGGAACGGTTATTTTTGGACCATGGCCTGCAACAAGATTAACGAAGCTGACAAAAGAGGAGATTGGACCCTTTTTTTCGATTTTATTTGTTCTATCTTCGAAACGCATTTAAGAGATCAGATGGAGGAACTTCTTCAGTCTGCCTCAAAACGTCTGTTTGAGGAGTATACACTCAGGTGTCAAGAATTAGGAAAATGATTCGCCATCCCTCGAGTGTAATTATTGCTGGACAGTCTAGCAGCGGAAAAAGTCAATTGACAGAAAATTTATTGCGGGAAAAGACCCTCTTTCAGGTTCCTCCTAAAAAGATTGTGTATTGCTATGATCGATGGCAACCGAGGTTCGATCGCATGAAGACCAAAGACAAGATTTAGTTTTATGAAGGCATACCCGATCCAACCCACCTCGACAAATGGTTCAAACCCACCAAAGGGGGTTTGTTGGTGCTAGACGATCTCATGGCTGAGGGCAGTGACGATAAACGCGTGTTGGATTTGTTTACCAAAGACTCTCATCATCGCAACATTACCGTGTTGTACCTCACACAGGATTTATTTCCCCCTGGCAAATTTTCCAAGACCATCAGTTGCAATGCTCATTATATCATTGCTTTCAAAAGTCCACCCGATCAGACGGGCATTCGCAATTTACTGTTGCAAGCCTACCCTCAACGTTGGAGACACGTGTTGGATCTATTTAACAAAGTGACCTCTAGACCCTATGGTTATTTGTTCATCGATGTTCACCCGGCCTCGGACGATCGATACAGATTGTGGAGTCATCTCACCGGTCAAGAGGGGTTGAGTCAAGTGCACACCTTGCCGACGGATGTCCCAACGAGTCTCGTTCGAAAACGCACTGCTAAGAGAAAGGGAAAGGCAAAGAAGGCAAAGAGAAGGAGGACAGCTTACTGAATTGAGCGAAAGAATGAGCAGACCGGCGGGAATAGGTTCACCCCGTCTTCGTCCTATTGTCAATGTCAATCGAGAAGACTATGAAAGATTAATGGCCGAAATGACAACACCTGCGGCTGGCTACATAACACCCGACAGACGTGGAATCGACCCAGCTGTGCTGTGCAAGGGGTATCACTGGAACCTTTGTCGCTGTTTGGGCCAGCCACAAGAATGGCAAGACCTCAAACATCATATCGACATCATCAAGTTTGAGTATTAAAAAAAGAGATTAAATGGACCATTCAAACTGCTTCACCAAGACTTTACGCCAAGTATTGGCCAGAACACGATGGAGTGGAAAGACCTCTTACAGCGTGAACTTCGTTTTATTCATGCTTGGTTTTTGACCAATCAATGGTTTTCGACCGAGCAATGTCTTGACGCTGGACAAGCATTGGTTTCGACACATAGGCCTTAAGTATAAATACAGCCTACGTCATTAGACCGTCATCATTTTTTCCTACACAATGCCTAGACACTACAAGAGGAAGACGACCAGTCGACGTCGACGTCGACCTCAAAAAAAGCAAACCGGTGGCACATTGCAACGTTACTATACACTCAAAATGACAAAAAGAGGAAAGCAGCGAGGTGGTATTCTACCGTTCCTCATTCCTTTAGCCTTTGCAGGAGCTAAAGCGGCTGCAATGGGTGGCATCGGTGCTGGTGTCGGCTTTGGTGTCAAGAAAGGTTTGGAAAGAGCCACACGTTAGGCTATAAAAGTGCATTGATAGTTCTTTCGAATTATCATTTGACACACGTCATGGAAAAGGAATGGTCAGAGGAACCAAAGGGGCCAGACGAACCTACTATCATCGTAAACGTAGAAGACCCCGTGGACACAACAGACGGAGTCAGCGAGGAGGTCTCGTTCTGCCTGGTAGAACTTTTCAGAGTGTTGGTTCAATACGTCATTTACAAGCTTCGCTCCAAGCTAAAAACCGTATAAAAAGGACCAGCAGACCTTACTACTGAAACAACAAGAATGGCCTCTGGAGTGAAAAGACAAGCTGCCTTTCTTAAGTCTGTCCTGAGAGAAGCCGACGATCACAAACCCAAAGAACAATTTCGAATGGCTAATGGCGATCAAATCAATGCCGTGAGTGAATTGGCCCTCAACGTCATGAAAGGTGTCGTACCCGTCTCTAACCAAGCCAAGATAAGGTTAAGACCTTACGCCAACACACTTCGCCAATTGAGTCGACGAAGAGCAGGCATAAAAGCCAGACGACAACTGTTGATGAAACAGAAAGGAGGTGCGGTCTTCAGAGAGCTTTCCAATTGCGTTCGATACTGCGTATAACATGGGTGAACCACTGACAAGTAGTGAAGTAAAAAATTCAACCGAGTTTTTACGTTTGCAAGACCAATACAAGGGTGAAATTGTAGAAGATAAACGTCTTACCAAAGCAGCTGAACTGGCTGCCAAACAACACATGATCTTGAAAAATAATCAAGACGATGGTATGAAAGAGGCTCGATTGAGGGGTGTCCATAGTCAGTTTCAAAAATGGACTCAACGTGTGCGTCAACCTTTTGGACCATCGGGTGGAAGCGGTACTGGTGGAACGGTACTAGATGAGGATGACTGAAGCTGGTCCCGTGCAGGCTCTGGTCAAACAGTTGATCAAAACTATAAAAAAGCCAACCAAACAAGAACCGACTCAGTCTATGACACCCGCCAACAGACCCAACAGAAAAAGAAGACTACCGACACCTGTGGTCACACCCACTCCCAGACGACCCAAGAAACCCGAGACACCACTCTCAGGCTTCAATCCATTGAACACTTTTGACGAAGACGACGACGAACCACCTGAGAAATTTATAGAAAGAAGTTATCAAAGGTTGTTTCCAGATAAACAATGAGGCTCTCCATCCACGTCTGTTAAAAGCAAGGTCACACAACAAGCAAAGACAGCCTTGAAGGGAAAGGGTAAACAGGCAGTCACCAAAAAAGGAAAACAGTTATTGGGACGGTGGTTAGAGTACAAGTAAGATGCCTCGAACCACACGCAAGTTGAGACGTGATTCGTTGAGACGACAGAGAGGTGGTCGATTGGACGTGCAAAAGGCTTTGTCCAAAACAGGCATCGAGTTCCATTGGCCAGGGTACCAGTACATGGGCCCAGGCACCAAGCTTGAGAAACGACTGGCCCGCGGAGATCCAGGCATCAATCGATTGGACAGGATAGCCAAACAGCATGACATTGACTACAGCAAAGCCAAGTCACTCAGGGACAAGTGGAAAGCCGATAAAAAGATGATCGCCAAGATCAATCGTTTGCCGGGGCGAAAAACCAAGACTGAAAAAATTGTCAAAGGCATCATGCAAACCAAACTAAAGCTAAAAGTGTAATGTAATGTAGTGTAATGAATTGTTTTATTAAATTTATTCTTTTTGTCACTAAAAACGTGTCTTTTGTTTCTGCGCATGCGCGGTGTCAAACCAGGGACAGAAATGCCATCCCACATGGCTCCCCTTAAACTTGGGGTAAATTGACAACGTTTTGATCACGATGCTGCTGTTTTTCTCGATTTCTCTATCCCTGAATCTTTTCCTCGTGGCCCTGGCAGATGGAAACTGAATGTTTCCATCCTCAAGGATCCTGTCTTCTTCCAATCTGTTAGTGACTTCTGGTCTAGATGGAGGCTGCGTAAGTCCTCTTTCTCATCTCTTCAGCTTTGGTGGGACCGTGGCAAGGAACATCTGAAAAGTCTTGCGGTCCGTTATTGCAGTAGTGCTCATAATGAACGTTCTCTGTCACGCTCTGTCCTTTCTGCCCTTGCTTGTCATCTGAAGGGTAGAATCGATGATGGGGTTGTCTCCCTTATGCCGGTTTACAAGCGGGTTCTTGGTCAGCTTGCGGCTTTTGATCTGACTGAAGCTGAGGGAGCGCGGGTTCGCTCCCGTGTTAAGTGGGCTGAGGAGGGTGAAACCTCCTCTCGTTTCTTCTTAAGGCTTGAAAAGAAGCGAGGAACTGAGAGTTGGATCTCCGCTATGCGTGTTTCCAATGGGGTGGTTGTAAGGGATGTTGAGGGTATTTGCGAGTCCTGGGCTTCTTTTTATCAGGACCTTTTTACGGCCTGCCCTGTCAATCTTGGGGTCCAGTCAGATCTTCTTGACCATCTTAGTTTCTCTCTTTCTCCCGATGAAGCTGCATTGTGTGACGGTCCAATCTCGCCTAACGAGGCTCATGCTGCTCTCCTTGGTATGGCTAAGGGAAAGTCCCCGGGTTCTGATGGTTTGCCAATGGAATTTTATGTTGCTTTCTGGGATTTGCTTGGCGAGGATCTTGTTAGTGTTTTCAATGCTTCTCTGGAGGCTGGCCTCCTGCCGTTCTCTCAGCGTGAGGCGCTCATTTCTTTGATCTTTAAGAAAGGTGGTCGCTTAGATCATAAGAATTGGCGACCCATTAGCCTTCTCAATGTCGATTACAAACTCTGTGCTCGTGTTCTGGCTGGTCGCCTCCTGGAAGTTTATTGCCTCCGTTGTTGCTCCTGATCAGACTTGTGGTGTGCCGGGCCGCTATATCGGCGAGAACGTTGCCTTTTTGCGTGATGTGGTTGAACTGGCAAATGAATACAACCTGCCAGTAGCTCTCCTTTCCCTGGATCAGGAGAAGGCTTTTGATCGTGTTGACTGGCCTTTCCTTTTCGCCACCTTAGCTAAAATGGGCTTTGGTGACAACTTTATTCGTTGGGTCAGGCTCCTTTACACCGACGTTCGAGAGCCCGTTCTTGTCAATGGGTACATTTCTCGCCCTTCAAGCCTTCCCCCTGGGGTACGTCAAGGATGTCCCTTGTCGCCCCTTCTTTATGTTCTCTCGATGGAAGTGCTGGCTGCTAACGTTCGCTGTCATCCTGACATTACTGGTCTGCGCCTACCTGGTGTGTCCTCTCCCCTCCCTGTACTGTCCTTATATGCTGATGATACGTCTGTTATTTCGTGCTCTGATCGTGCCACTAGAGCGATTTTCTCCGTCTATGCTAGATTCGAACAAGGCACTGGTGCCAAGCTCAATCTTGGTAAATGTGAGGGTGTTTGGCTGGGTTCGTGGCGTGGTCGTTTGGATGCACCCGTCTCCATCAAATGGACCACTGCCTTTATGAAAATCTTGGGTGTGTATCTGGGTAATGGCAGCCTTGAAGAGGAAAACTGGCGGCCTCGAATCAATGCTGTTGAGAAATGTCTCAATTCTTGGCTTGGCCGATCCCTTTCATACTCTGGCAAAGTCTTAATTGTCAACGCTCTGGCTCTTTCTAGAGTGTGGTACGTGGCATCACTTATTCCTATGCCTGATTGGGTCGTATCTGAACTCAATACCCTTGTCTTTTCTTTCTTTTGGAGTGGCAAACGTGACTTGGTTGCTAGAAATGTAGTCTATCACTCTACTTTCCAGGGGGTTTTTGGCGTTGTGTCTGTCCGCTATAAAGTTCATGCGCTCCTGGCTCAGTGGATTCGCCGTTATGTTACTGCCCCGAATGCGTGGGCCCATATGATGACCTTTTGGTTTTACGACCGTTTTGGGATTGATCCCCAAACTGTGCTCGCTACCCCATCTCTTTTCCTCTTGGTAGCTTCGGGCCTTCCAGCTTTTTATGGCGCACTTGTGCGTGCTTGGACTGCGCTTCACGGCTCCTTGTCTCAGGCTGGTCTGATCGTTGGTTCGGCTGACACTGCATTACTTAGGGCTGACTCCTTGACTTGTAAATCGTGTTATCAGCTTCTCTTGTCCTTGAATCCCGCACAACCTCACTGTGTGGTAAAGTTTAGCTCCAGTTATCGTGACTTGGACTGGGATTCCACCTGGAAGACCTTGTTCTTTATGCCCCTTGACAGGAAGCCTATTGATCTCTGTTGGAAAGTTGCTCACGGCGTTTTGTACACTGCTCACCGTCTTGTCTCCTTTGGATTGAATGTTCATCCGGATTGTCTCTGTGGTCATTCCGATGAGACTCTGGAGCACTTGTTCTTCCACTGTCCTCTGGCTCAAAGTGGTCTCGATTGGATTCAATCACTTCTTTTTCTGTCCTCTCCTCTGGCACCAGCTATTACCGTGCGTCATGTCCTTTTTGGTTTCAGTAGTGATGAGCTGTTGTGTGTTCCTCGTGTCTTCTGTTATCTTCTGTCCTTACTTAAGTTTTTTGTCTGGTGTCAAAGGAGTGACTATCGTTTTCGGTCCAAACCTCCAAGTGCCGTGGGTCTTATTGCTAGTATCAAGGGTCGCCTGTCTTTCTATTTACCTCTGTTTTTTAAGCGATTTCGATCTCGGCGCAGGCGCCGTTTTTTCCAGCGCCAATGGGGTGCAAATGGCCGTATTGGTAAGGTCGTTGGTGACTCTTTTCATTTTTGTCTTTCTTAGTGGCTTCGAGTGTGTTTCCCTCGGTCGCCTTTGTTGGCTGTACTGTGGTCATGTTCTTCTGCTTGAGTGTGTGTGTCTCCCCTCTCTTTGCTCCCCCTCGGTCGCCTTCGTTGGATGTACTGTGGTTTTCTTGGCTCTGAGTTAGTTTTTCTCGAGTGTGTGTGTCTTCCCTCTCTTTGCTCCCCCTCGGTCGCCTTCGTTGGATGTACTGTGGTTTTCTTGGGCTCTGAGTTGGTTTTGCTTGAGTGTGCGTGTCTCCCTTCTCGCTGCTCCCCTCGGTCGCCTTTGCTGGTTGCACTGTTGTTTTCTTGAGATAGGTCTGAGTGAGTGTGTTTTGAGCGTCTTTGTACATAGTCTTAAAGTATTTTAATTAGTAGGGAGGCGGGGTTCGATTCCCTGGCGAAGTTGGCGGGCTGGCTCCGTATGGAGATGCCCCCTCCCATTTTGGCGGTCTTTTTACCCTGTAGGTTACCCTAGCTTTTTGTTTTTCTTTTTGTCGGATCGTTTTGTTCCCTTTGTTTTCATGGCCTTGGGGCATCACACCGCGCCCCTTGGACCGCCAAAATACAACAAAAAACTTGTTGCATCTTGATGGTGCAATTTTTATTTCATCATGATGATGCAATCGTTCTCGATAAAAAGAGAGCGGGTTGAATCATTTATCATTCGAGCTTTGCTTGCCAAAATGAAACGTTCCTGGGAAGACACTTTGGACTCTGATGATGATGATCTCTTGAACCAAGTCATGGACGACTTTGAAGGCACACAACAAGGAGGAGGTTCGCGCCAACCTTTGTTTGCCTTTACTTTGGCAAGCATTGGCCCGAGAAGACGCTGGAAAAACGTGGTAGAAAGAGCTCAGTTTCGAGCAGAACTTCACCAACTGAGAGAACCCGTGGTTGGTGATGATATCGGTGGAGCCTTAACCGACGCTTTACGCGCAGCCATAGAAAGAGAACTGCGCCGAGAGGTCAGACATCCCAATGATTTTGTGAATTTCAGCATTACCGCTCATGGTTTCACTCATGCTTATCAAAGCATCAATTTCCGTACGCCTTAACGAACTGTTGCAACAGCTAGCTGGTAAGCTGAACAGCAACGAATCCTTTGACTACCAGCAAGGATTTCAAGTTGATGTGGTGTTTGTTAAACGTCCACGGCCCAGTAGCGGGCGAAAAAAGAGAAATGTTGGTAAAAGATGTATGGGCAATGACAACAAACGTAAACGATGCATCATTTCTATCAAAAACGATGACGATCTCTGCTGTGGGCGTGCTATCGTGACCATGACAGCCCATGTCAACAAAGACGACTCCAATGATGCTTATCAAGATTATCGGAACATGATACAAGGAAGAAAAATTCAAGAAGAAAAGGCAATCGAACTGCACGAACTTGCTGACGTACATCGGGGACCCTGTGGCTTAGAAGAATTGCAGAAATTTCAGCAATATTTACAGCCCACTTATCAATTGCTGGTGATGTGTCGCACCAAGCCTTTCTTTCTCATCTTCAAGGGACCGCCTGCCCCCAAGCAAATTAAACTCATCAAGTCTGACACTCACTACGATGGATGTTCTTCTTTTCCAGCCTTTGTGAACCGATCTTATTGGTGCTCTCTACGCGAGAAGGGTTTTAATGTTGACGATGCTAAAAATCACCCTTGCGAAGGACGATCCTGTCACTCTTGCAATCGAAAGGATTGTCCAGACTACGACCGCACCAATCGCAACCCGCCTATCCTTTGTGCTTTTTGTCATTGTCGATTTTATGGCAATAACTGTTTTGATTATCACCGCCAAAAGAATCTTTGTCAAACACACAAAACATCTCTAAAGTGTCATGCAGAATACAATGTGATCAAAGGAAAAAGACATCGCTGTGGATTTGTTGCCTGCCCCAGCTGCAAAGAGATGGTTGACATTCATGCCCACAAGTGTTTCATTCAACCTCATTTTGATGAGCCTGAACAAGAAGAGGAAGATGAAGAAGGCAAGAAAAAACCCCTCCCTCCCCCGCTGTTTGTCTATGCTGACATCGAGGCCATGCAGCTACCCGACAGGCAGTTTGAGCCTAACATGCGTTGTTATCGCACCCATGAAAGTGTCAATATCGTGACCCACAAAGGCAAAGACTGATTTGGATGATGCCACAGAGATTCCCGATGACGACCGTGAAAGAACCATTATTACCATTTTCCATAACCTGAAAGGATTCGATGGCATGTTCATCATTGATGAAATGTATCAACAGCAAAGAAGCATTGAAAATCAATTAACCGTGGGCAGCAAAGTTTTGTCTTTTGAAAGTGGACCCCTCATTTTCAAGGACTCTCTCTGTTTTTTGCCGATGCCGTTGGCCTCGTTTCCAGCCGCCTTCAATCTAACGGAACTGAAAAAAGGTTTCTTTCCTCATGAGTTCAATTTACCCCAGCACCAGTCCTATGTGGGCCAAATTCCTGCCCTTGAATTTTTCGACCCGGATGGCATGAGTGAGAACAAGAAAAAAGAATTGGAACAATGGCATGCGGAGCAAGTGAGGCGTGGATTGCAATATGACTTTGTTAAAGAAATGGAGGAATATTGTAAATCGGACGTGGCGTTGTTACAAGCAGGGTGTGAAGCTTTCACCAAAGAATTTGAACGTCACGCCGACTTCAACCCCTTTGCCAAATGTGTGACCATCGCCAGTGCCTGTAATCTCTATTGGCGGAAACACTGCCTTCAAGAAGACACCATCGCTGTGGAACCTCTCAAAGGATGGCGCGGGGCCAATGTGAATCAATCTGTCAAGGCCTTACAGTGGCTGTATTTCAAAGAACAAGGTCTTGCCAAGCCGGATGCCAGTCCAGACAGAATAAGACATGTCAGAAACGGGGGTGAGCAGAGTGTGACGTGCGTGGAGGGCCGCTACTTCGGGAACGGATATGATCCCCAATCCAAAACGGTGTACGAGTTTCACGGCTGTTTTTGGCACGGGTGTCCTCGCTGCCATCCCGGAAATCGCCACGCAAGACATGCCGCCAATCCAGACCGAACGATGGAGGAGTTATGGCGCGCCACTTTGGCCAAAGAAGCTGCTCTCCGTTTGGACGGTTACACCCTCGAAGTGATGTGGGAATGCGACTGGGACGCCCTGTGCGAACACGATCCCGCCGTCAAACGATTTGTGACCGATTTTTCTTTGGTGGAACCCCTGCAACCGCGATATGCCTTTTTTGGAGGAAGAACCGGGGCCGTGGCTCTTCACGTGGTGGCCTCGGAAGGAGAAGAAATACGCTATGTAGACGTGACCTCCCTTTACCCGTGGGTCAACAAGAATGCCCGTTACCCCATCGGACATCCTACCATTTTGACCCAACCGAGAGATCAAGACATTTCCAACTATTTTGGCATTGCCCTCGTGGATATTCTCGCCCCCGCCAATCTGTTTCACCCGGTACTTCCAGTGCGAAGTGGCAACAAGTTGACCTTTCCCCTTTGTGCGGCCTGTGTCAAGCAAGAACAAGCCAATCCCATGCTGTTGCGTAGCGACAGTTGCTGCCACACCCCTGAAGAACGGATGCTCCGTGGAACTTGGTGTACCCCAGAGATTGAAAAGGCAGTGGAAAAAGGTTACAGAGTGGTACAAATACATGAAGTGTGGCATTTCCCCCCTCATCAGCAGCAGGAAGGTCTTTTTAGGGACTATGTCAACACGTGGCTGAAATTGAAACAGGAGGCAGCTGGTTGGCCACGTTGGTGCGATACCGAAGCCAAATAACAACAGTACCTAACCCAGTACAAAGAAAAAGAAGGTATTGACCTGGACTATGGAAGCATTCAGAAAAATCCAGGGCGAAAGGCCACCGCCAAGCTCATGCTCAACTCCTTCTGGGGAAAATTCGGGGAACGTCAAAACAAGCCCAGGACCATGACCATCACCTCCCCTTCACAGTTGTTTCCACTCTTGTTTCACACCCACACAAATCTGTCCACTCTTCGCATTTGTACAGAGGATGTTTTGGAAGCTGTCTATACAGAATTAGATGAAAATGTCGTTCCCAGCAACAAAACGAACGCTTTCATTGCGGCATTCACGACAACCTGGGCGCGGTTACGTCTGTACGAAACCTTGGACGTGCTGCAAGAACAGGTTCTCTACTACGACACGAACTCTGTCATCTACCGATGGAAAGCGGGACAGCCCTCTATTCCCATTGGTGACTTTTTAGGAGAGATGACAGACGAACTGGAAGGAGATGTGATTATAGAATTCGTATCGGGCGGGGCCAAGAACTATGGTTATATCACCAGGAGCGGTAAAACCGAATGTAAAGTTCGCGGCTTTACCTTAAACGTCAGAGGCAAAGAAGTGTTAAATTTTAACACCATGAAAGCGAACATTTTAGCGGAAATCGAGGATCCCCAGGAAGAGAGGCGTGTCATTTGGGTTAACAACCCAAATCATTTTAAACGTGACACGACCTACAAGACCATCAAATTGGTCAACCAGGCCAAACAATATGGACTCGCTTTTGACAAACGTGTGATAGATCCGGAAACAAAAATCAGTTATCCTTTTGGATACAGTGTTGACAGAGTGCGACGCACAAAACGTAGATATTTTATTAGATTTGTAAAAAAAAAAACCGTTCCCGACAGGATTCGAACCTGTAAGCCTCAAGTCCCACCCCTGGCTGGCTGGCTGGACTCATTGGCCGAAAGCGAGAACTTCTTGCCAGTACCGGCGATGGCCACTGAACCATCGCTTTCCCGGCCATTTTTTTGATGACTTTTTAAACTTTTTAAAACGAAATGGGCGTGACGTCATTAGGAGGTCACACACGACCCGATTGTAACGCTAGGTATGACGTCAGAATAAAATTGGTTGAAACGTGACTTTTCGTGTGTCTTACATGACTGGGGAATGTTGGGAGACTTTTCGTGATGGTTTTACATGCAGTACTTACCCCCATGAAATCCTGGACGCTGATTGGTCGACAGCGAATTAATTCAGTCACGTGTTTGAAATACTCGATTCTGATCGGCTGTGTGATGAAGTAACCAGTATTACTACTATCATTAGACACAAAAGTCGATGATGTTCTGGATTTTCCTTACAAGTTTACTAGAATGGTCAACAACAAACGTGTAGTCGTGGGTCTTAAACAAGAGAGGATCCTTAAGTTAAAGCAATGCATTGAAGAATCAGACAAAGGTGAAACTGCTGTTTACTTGGTTTGCGAAGATACAAACACGAAGGTCGTAGAACAGCCCAATGTCCAGGAACCAAGTACTTCAAAGGATGACGAGCAGGTCCCGCCGGCAAAGAAAGCTAAGATTTCTCGGCAGCCCACACTGTTTTATATGTTTACGCCAAACTGCCCGACAGTTGCATCCCAATCCCGTTCAGCGGCCAGAGCAAGAAAGATCAAGATCTTTAGTGCGACTGAAATTGAAGAGAGTACAGGAATGCAAAAAATATAAAGAGAATTTTGGAACGCCAAAGCAGAAGAGCTTTGTAGGAGCACAATAAGGAAAACAGAGTATTTAAAGGATGAAATGTATAAGTGACGATGAATGAACTCAGTAAGATGCATTTGTAAAATTATTGTAGAAGTTACAGTTTTTTGGCAACTTAAGCCGTTTTGTTCTGACGTAAATATGACATTTAATTTACAGAAAAAAGGAAATATTTGATAAAATGAACTTGATCACCAAGCCGACGAAAAAAATGTTAAAATTATTCGTTCTTTTTTTTTTTTACTTTTTCCGTGACTGGTCATACTAGTTCAAAATATCTTTCTCCTGGGGTTTCCAGCACATTCTATTAAAATTCACAATTTCGAAACGGTTCAATAAATGCATAACATTGTGATTTATCCACCCTTTCAGTTGTTCGTGTGATAGCATAACTTTCCACAAATAAAATGCATACAAAGGTGATTTTTTGTGAAGATTATTTGACGCCAAAATAATCCATATTAATATTTGTAAACGGTTATGGTGACTTAAGTGCAGTCTTAACATTTACTGACGATGCCGCAAACCCTCCAGCAGTCATTCTCGCCAGTAAACGACACCCATCCTCACAGAAATTTGTAGCTTGCCTTCGAGCCATGGACGGAACCCAGAGGGCGACCGTTATTGTTTTTGGCGCGATTTACTTCCTCTAATAAGTAGTAAAACCCCTGTTTTAGAATTTGCAATTTGATGTTACGGACTAAACCTCAACAATCTCGTTCCCCGCGGCCGCAATCCTTTTACTCAAAGAGGAGAAAATTCGACTTCCGGTTCCTGTCCGTGGCTCTAAAATGTCAAGTGCCACCCACAAAAAAGAAAATATTGCACGTACGCGTTGAGATGGTGGGAACTTGCGTATCTTCGCATTTTCTATGCGTTGTTTCCCCAATAAGGCATGTATCCTATCAAAATGTATTGTAGCGAAAAGCGATACTCAAGTGAACGGAAGTGTTGGGAGGACGAAAACGAGACAAAGCTGGAAGTCTGGATACGAGACTCCAGATGAGACGGCCATTTTAAATCGTTTTGACTCCGTTCCTAGCTTCAGGGGGTTGTAGTGCTAGCTAACTCAAAGAAGAACAGAAACATTAAAGCTTGTAATGTTAACTTTATCTCAATGGCCAGGAATACTCACTTGTGTTTCAAAACAACGTGCGTAAGTATGTTTTTGCACTTGAGATCGATCGTATGTTACTTTCAATGTTTTGTACGTGGTTCGTCACCCTTTGGAAAAGTAGTTTCCCACGAAACCCCCCTACCCCTTGAAAATTACCGCTCTTGAACCCCCCCTCCCCCTCGGAATTTCCAATGATCTTCCGTGGGGGGCGGTATGGATATTTTCTGGAACCACACAATGTATGAAATTAAAGTATTTAATGCAATACAGTGCGTCAGTCAACTCAGTTCATAATTTATTAGCCAAGTCAATGATGCAAAAACTACACGGTTTAACGTACTTGGTTTTACTCAACAAAAACAATTGGCATTGAAAAGGGGGAAAAAGGAATAAATGGTTTAAAAATAATTGAAATAATATTAAAACTGCGGCTTCAGGGGGTAAATGGTTCAGAAATAGGAAATGTTTAAAAAATACTGTAATGTCTAAAATATCAGTTAGCTTGAAGAGTAAACAAAATTAGCTAATTGTTCAAAGCAAATTCAACTATTTACAAAAGGTTACTGATCTACACGTTCAAAAACACAAATAGACTATTTGACTAGGTCAAAAGATTAAGCTACTTAAAATTTACTTTGTTTTTGTAAGCCATGCAAGCACTGAGGTTTGACCACTTTGAGACAACGTTGCTTTCCTTTTTTTTTTGCTTTTATGTGACTGCACCGACCATTGTTGATGTGTTCTGAAAAAAGAAAGGTAGTTACGTAAATACAACCTAGTTTTTTTGGGTTTTTGCGCTGTTATATTATAAGACATATTTACTACCACACTACAACTTTGCTTTCCATAGTACTTACTTTTTACAAAGTAATCATCGTAATAGAGGCGATTGAGGTGCACTGTCATGTTGCAATCGATGCATACCATTTTAAGTTCGTTCACAACTGTTGCTTGTGGGAATTTTGTCTCCACCCCTATAAGTATACCAATGAGCATGGGTTAATAAAAAAATACGTCAGGTAAATTATTCAATAGGAATCAAACTAGCCACCTTATTATGCGTAATTTCACTCAGAGCACTCCCTTTACTAGCAAATGATGGTAAAGAGTTTTGAGGTCTCTCTCCTGTACACGCTTCTCTGTTGCAGTGTCTCTTGTCACCATAATCAGCGCAAATCTGCTTCTCTAACGCATCACGATCTCTAGTTTGCTGATATCCCAGCTCTTCAAACTCCTCCAAGTCAGCAACCATCAGTAATGTAGTGGACATTTTCCCCCCATAAAGTAACTCAGCAGGTCTCTTGCTGGTAGTTGTGTGCGGGTTGGAGCAGTTTGCCAGGAAGAAATTGTGTTCAACTCCAACCTCCAGTCTCTTCCTTCGGCATGAGCAACTCTCATTGCTTTCAAAAGAGAACAATTTTGCCCTTTGACCTCTCTATTCGCTCTTAACCATAGTGGTGTGGTCAACCTGTGCTTAATTCCCATCTCCATCTCTTCATCTTTCAGCAGACACTTGGTTGGGAGAACTAGAGAACTGTCTGTCTTAACACTTGATAATCACTTCTGAACTGGTAGATTTAATGATGAGAACTTCCACGAGGCGCACTAGCTAATTGTTTTTCCAGTTCTTAAAATATTTCTCCTGCTCACCGGCCAAAACAAAGTATACTCC